ACGAAACGTGTGGGAGGTTCGCCGACATGGGGATGGAACCCCATGCAGGCGCTGCCTCTGGGGCCTTAGGTAGAGCTCCCTATCGGGACACGACACGTGTGGGAGGTTCGCCGACATGGGGATGGAACCGCATGCGGGCGCTGCCACTGGGGCCTTAGGTAGAGCTCCCCATGGGGACACAAAACGTGTGAGGGGTTCACCGAGATTGAAAGTGGAACCGCATGCGGGCGCTGCCACTGGGGCCTTCGGTGGAGCTCCCTATGGAGCCACGAAACGTGTGAGGGGCGTGCCGAAATGGAAGGTGGAAATGCGTGCGGGCGTTGCCACTGGGGCCTTCGGTGGAGCACCCGATGGGGCCACGAAGCGTGTGCGGGATGCACCGACATTGGGGTGGAACCGCATGCGGGCGCTGCCACTGGAGCCTTCGGTGGAGCTCCCTATGTGGCACCGAAACGTGTGAGGGGTGCACCGTAGAGCTCCCTATACGGGGACGAACATTGCGAGGGGCCCGCCGAAATCGAGGTGGAACCGCGTGCGGGCGCTGCCTCTGGGGCCTTCGGTGGAGCTCCCTATGGGGCCACGAAGCGTGTGAGGGGCGTGCCGAAATGGAAGGTGGAACTGCGTGCGGGCGTTGCCACTGCGGCCTTCGGTGGAGCACCCTATGGGGCCATGAAGCGTGTGCGGGGTGCACCGACATGCAGGTGGAACCGCATGCGGGCGCTGCCACTGGGGCCTTCGGTGGAACTCCCGATGGGGCCAAAGAACCGCATGCGGGCGCTGCCACTGCGGCCTTCGGTGGAGCTCCCTATAGGGCCACGAAGCGTGTGCGGGATGCACCGACATTGGGGTGGAACCGCATGAGGGCGCTGCCCCTGGGGCCTTCGGTAGAACTCCCTATGTGGCACCGAACGTGTGAGGGGTGCACCGTAGAGCTCCCTATGAAAGACACGAACATTGCGAGGGGCCCGCCGAACTTTGGGTGGAACCGCGTGCGGGCGCTGCCACTGGGGCCTTCGGTGAAATTCCGTATGGGGCAAGCAACGAAACGTGTGAGGGGTGCACCGCAGAGCTCCCTGTGGGGCCACGAACATGGCGAGGGGCTCGCCGAGATTGAAAGTGGAACCGCCTGCGGGAGCTGCGACTGGGGTCTTCGGTGGAACTCCCTATGGGGCCACGAACCGCGTGAAGGGTGCTAAGATGGAACTGCATGCGAGCACTGCCTCTGGGGCCTTCGTTTGAACTCCTCATGGGGCTATTGAACGTATGAGGGGTGCCGAAATGCGGGGTGGAACCGCATTCGGGCGCTGCCACTGGGGCCTTCGGTGGAGCTCCCCATGGGGCCACGAAACGTGTAAGGGGTGTGCCGAAACAGGGACATGTGGAGGGTAAAGGCAGGGATGTGATCTGGGATGGGAGCAGGAGGAGGAGGAGGAGGGGATCGGGAGGAGGAGGAGGAGGAGGAGGAGGAGAAGGAAGGAGAACGCGGGGCGCTATCTCTTCAAAACGAAGACCCACCACCACAGGAGGGTTGGGAAACACAGTCCCGTGGAAGGGGTTAGACTCCTAGTGGAGAGCCACGAGCGAAACGAACACGAAGTCGGATGTCTAGAGGCCTTCTAGATGGGGTCGGAGTAGATGGGGTCGGAGGATCGCGCCGCACCGCCGATGCATCGACGATACATCGTCGATGCATCGCCGACGTTGGCGACGCATCGGCGACGTCAGCGTGGAGAAAAGCGGGCTGTGCATCCAGCCGCATTGCCGATGCATCGGCGGTGCGGCACGATCCTCCGACCCCATCTGCTCCGACCCCATCTGGGAGGCCTAGAGATGTCTGGGTCATCTCGGACCCCTAGTGGACCGAATGCCTCAACCCGTTCGGGCTGCTGTCAAGTCGGGCGTGTCCCTCTGCAGGAGGATTATTCAAATATAGTTTTTTAAAATACTCAGGGGACGATTTTCTGAGTATGTTTGTCTATGTTTGAACATCTGTTGATTATTCTTGATTTTTCCTCCATGAGGGGGCATGCCCGACCTGAGGCTGCTGCTGGGCGGTCCGCACGGGGCCGCCGCCCTGCCGGGCCCGCCTGCCGGGCCAGGAGAGCTCCCCAGACCCCTGGCGGACTGAGTGCACCGGCCCCGGGCCTTGCTCGGCGGCGAGCGAGGGGGGGGCAGGTGAGAGGAGGGAAGGCCTCCTCAGAAGGCGGCGGAGCTTCTCAGAAGGCCTCTGGCCTTCTGAAAAGCTGTCTGTGTCGTTGGGGAAGGCCCAGAAAACTGTTTTTTCAGCAGAAGGCCAGGGGACTTCCGAGCCTTCTGAGAAGGCCCGCCCCTTCTCACACTTCCCCCCTCGCTCGCCGCCGACTTTCCTCGACATCGTGCGGACGTCCATTTCTGTGCCCTTTTCGATTTCATGCGTATTGTTCGCAATGTGAGCAAAAAGCTCCTCGATCGTCCTCGCCCAAAAAAATGCACACGTCATGCCAGTTCTCCCTGCCTCCTG